CAAAGTTTTAATTTTAGAAAGTAAATAAATTCCAGATACCAGGGCCTCTGCTTGGGTCACTGGAGAGCATGGCTGGCATGAAAACTACCACAGGCCCCTCGCTCAGACCGCCCCACACCCCAAGGGAACCCCCACCCTGATCTGGGACACCCTCAGGGCAAGACAGGCCTCTATCCTAGCTAATAAAAGAGTAATATGCAGATTGACCATCATTCCAACACACAAGATCAAGACAGCTGTCCCCATGTGGTCAAAGATCCTGCCCCTATGTGGACACAAGATGACAACTACAAGATGGCCAGCAGGGGAGGTCAGTTATGAGGGACCAGGCCTGTAAGGGAGGGCAGTTGTGGGTGATCAGGCCTGCGGGGGAGGGCAGTTATGGGTGACCAGGCCGGCAAAGGAGGGAAGTTGGGGTAAACAGGCTGGCAGGGGTGCAGTTAGAAATCAATCAGGCTGGCATGGGAGTGGTTACGGGGTGATCAGGCTGGCAGGCAGAACCAGTTAGGGGCAATCTGGAATGCAGGCAGGCGAGCAGTTGGGAGTCAGCAGTCCTCGATTGTGAAAGGGCAGTTGGACATTCCTTGAGGGGTGCTAGATTGGAGAGGGTGTAGGCTGGGCTGAGGGACACCACCACACCCCCGCCCTGTGCACAAATTTCATGCTCTGGGCCTCTGGTACTGTACATAAAAATCCCTAAAGACTCCATCAAAAAAACTAATAGACTTTATGAATGCGGTAATGTAGCAGGTTACAAAATTAACGCCAAGAAATCTATGGCATTTCTATACACGAATAATGAACTTTCAGAGAGACTAAAAAAGCAATCCCATTTACCATCACACCAAAATATTAAGATGCCTAGGAATAAACGTTAACTAAGGAGTTAAAAGACATATACGTGGAAAACTACAGGACCCTTAAAAAAAAAAAAAAAAAAAAAAAAGATATACTGTATTTTCCGGCATAGAAGACAGCTTTTGACGGCTTTTGAAACGAAAAAAAGTCGATCGAAAATCGGGGGTCATCTTATACGCCGAGTATAGCCCGAAAAACATCTCGTTATGCCGCTAAACAAATTTTCTAACTCAATCCCGCACCAATCACTGCAAGGCTGCTCGGACCGCCTCTCTAACTCAGCCAATCCAAGCAGGCTTTTTATGCATGCAAATTATACATGTTCTGTACCCGAAGCTACACTGTGTTCTAGTAAAAAGCCTGCTCAGATTGGCCAGAGTCAGAGAGACGGTCTATTATAACCTTTGAACCTTTGTTTGTTGTGACTGGCTCACCGTGGTATATATAGTTGCAGCACAGGAACGTTCTGTGTAGCCAAAGCTGCTGTATCAGGACACATACAGTGAGTTAAAAGGTACCGTAATAGAACATTCTGTGTGTAGCTGAAGCTACAGTACTGTATAACCCCGGCCTAAAAGATTAGTGGGTGTACAACAAATGGCTGGTAGAGAAGAACCCATCATGGCTCCAGCAAGAAGAAGGAAATTTGAAGCCAGTTTCAAACTGAAAGTTGTAAACTTTACCAAGGAACACAATAACTGTGCTGTGGCAAGACAATATGGAGTAACAGAAAAGATGGTCCGAGACTGGAAAGCAAATGAAGATGCATTAAAGAGTATGCCAAGGAGTAAGTGTGCATTAAGAAGAGGCATCCCTTATTGGCCAGAACTCGAAAAGCATGTAGCAGACATGGTTCTTGAGCATCGTCAAAATGGTTACATAGTGACATGAAACAAAATATGTATGTTTGCACTTCAGTGGGCCAAATCTAACCCAGATAACAGCAAAGGATTTAAGGCCACTGTATCCTGGAGTACTAGGTTCTTGGAAAGGCACGATCTGGTACTGAGGCAAAAGACCAAAATTGTACAAAAATTACCTGCAGATCTTGACGGCAAAGTAAGTCTTTTCCATCAATATGTAATTCAACAGCTCAAGAAACATGACTATGCATTAAGTCAGATCGGAAATATGGATGAAACTCCTATGAATTTCGATATGGTTGGAAATAAAACTGTTAATCCAAAAGGTGCAAAAACAGTGTTAATTAAAACAACAGGACATGAGAAGTCCAATTTTACAGTGGTACTAGCATGTACAGCTGATGGTGCCAAACTAAGACCAATAATTATTTTTACAAGAAAAAAAGTGCCAAAAATCAAGTTCCCTGTTGGAGTTTTTGTACATGTGAATGAAAAAGGATGGATGGATGAAAAGGGGTAAAGCTATGGCTTGATAACGTAGGGAGTAGGCGACCAGGTGGACTTCGTCAAGAACGTAGCCTACTGTGTGGGATATGTTCAGAACTCATTTAACTACCAGCACAAAGAACAGGCTGGCCAGAATAAACACAGATGCAGCAGTTATTCCTGGAGGATTGACATCATTGGTACAGCCACTGGATGTGTGCCTAAACAAGCCATTTAAAGATCGCATTAGAGAACAGTGGAATGAGTGGATGGTTAGCAGCGAAAAGTTATTCACAAAAGGAGGAAACATGCGTGCGCCACAATTGGATGTTTTGTGTAACTTTGTCATAAAAGCCTGGAATGATATTACTGAAGAAACAGTAATTAGGTCTTTCAAGAAGTGTGGCATATCAAATTTTTTGGATGGTATGGAGGATGACTTCTTGTGGCAAGATGAAGGGGAAGCCGAAGCTGAAGACACACCAACTGATTTGGAATTTGATCCATATGATGACTGTCTTACAAATGTACCACAAGAGGTCAATGATAAACTTATGATGTCAGAAGAAGAACATGATGAGGATTTTGAAGGATTTTAAGCTCACAATGCTCCTCTGCCTAGAAAAACCTCTTATCCCAGTCAGTCACAAACAAGCGTTTTCTGCAAGTTCTTCATGTAATTTTCTTTCCAGATGATGCCATCATTGTTAATGTTCTCTTTTGGATTTCTTGTTTCTCGGTCAAGTTCATGGCATTGCCATTTGTGAAGAGACCTTCCATTTATCGTATCAATGTACAGTATATTACGGTATGTTCGAAAAATGTCATTCATTAAAAATTTAATTAAAAGAAGAACTGGTGTTGCCTCGGAAGTGGGGGTAGTCTTATATAGCGAATGTAGGCCTAAACCTATGTTTTAACTGTAAAATTAGGGGGTTGTCTTATACGCCGGAAAATAGGGTAAGAAGATGTAAACAGATAGAAGAACATACCATGTACATGGATTGGTAGAATCAACATCATTAAAATGTCCATACTACCCAAAGCAATCCACAGATTCAGTGCACTCCCTATTAAAATACCAATGGCATATTTCACAGACCTAGGAAGAACAGTCCAAAAATTCATCTGAAATTAAACAAAAGACCCCAAATAGCCACAGAAATCCTGAGATGAAAAACAAAGTATGTGGGATCTCAATACCAGGTTTCAAGCTATATTACAAGACTACTGTTCTCAAATAGCCTGGTACTGGCACAAAAACATAGACCAATGGAATAGAATAGAGAATACAGATATCGATCTAAACCACTATGGTCAATTAATATTTGACAAAGGAGGTATGAACATACAATGGAGTTAAGACAGTTTCTTCAATAAATGGTGTTGGGAAAATTGGACAGAATTTCATCAAAAAAATGAAACTAGATCACCAACTTACACCATACACAAAAATAAACTCAAAATGGATAAAGAACTCTAACATATGACGGGAAACCATAAAAATACTAGAGAAATCCACAGGAAGAGAATTCTCAGACATATGCCAAAGCAATTTCTTCACCGATACCACTTCTAGAGCAATGGAAGCCAAAGAGAAAATAAGCAAATGGGACTACATCAAAATAAAAAGCTTTCTCACAGCAAAAGACACCATCAACAAAACAAGAAAGTCCACTGTATGGGAGAACATATTTGCAAATGTTATCACTGATAAAGGTTTAATCTCTAACATCTACAACTTATACAACTTAATAAAAGGAAGACAAATGATCCAATAAAAAAATGGGCAACGGACCTAAATAGAATCTTTTCAAAAGAAGACAGAAGGAAGACCAAGGGACATATAAAAACATGCTCAAAGTCACTAATTATTGGAGATATGCAAATCAAAATGACAATGTGGTACCATCTCACACCTGTCAGAATGGCAATCAACAACATATCAACTAACAAGTGTTGGCAAGGATGCGGAGAAAAAGGAACCCTCGTGCACAGCTGGTGGGAATGCAGACTGGTGCAGCAACTGTGGAGAACAGTATGGAGTTTCCAAAAAAAACTAAAAATTGAACTCCCATTTGACCTAGTAATCCCACTTCTAGGAATATATCCCAAGAAACTAGAAATATCAATCAAAAAGGATATACGCACTCCTATGTTTATAGCAGCACACTTCACCATAGCTAAGATTTGGAAACAGCCTAGGTGCCCATCAGCAGATGACTGGATCAGAAAACTATGTTACATCTACACAATGGAGTATTACACTATGGTAAAAAAAGGAATTCTTACCATTTGCAGCAGCATGGATGGACCTGGAGAGCATTATGTTAAGTGAAATAAGCCAAGCAATGAAAGAAAAACACCACATGATCACACTCATTTATGGATAATAAGGAACATTATAAACTGATGAACAAAAAGATAGATACAGAGGCAGTAAAGCATTGAACAGCCTGTCAAATTACAGTGGGAAGGCTGGGGAGTATTGGGGAAGAGAGGATAGAGATCAACCAGAGGACATGTATGTATGCATATAAGCAGAACCAATTGACACAAGACAGTGGGGGGATGGGATCAGGGCATGCGATAGGGGTTAGGGGAAGATAGTGGAAGGTCAATGGGTGAAAAAAAAGGAGATATATGTACTATTATATGTAATACTTTAAACAAACAAACAAAAAAAGTGAAAGAAAAAAAAAAAAGTAAGATTCTTTGTTTGCCCAAAGTATAAGCTACTATTAGTTAAACTTAGGAACCTTATATGAATATAAGTGAAATTCACGAACTTACATCCACTTCAGAAGGTACAGTCAAATTACAGGGACTCCGTTTCCACATATCCACACACTGAAAAGTTAAGAACAGTATAAATATTCTGAAAATTCAAAATAAGGCAAGACTTTTGGCATAACAATAAGCTTCATTTTAAAAGTATAACTTACATTTCCTGCTTTAGAAATTTTGAGGTCATAATGCTGACCTACTTTTCTTTCCTTTCTTTTTTGTAAGAAATCAAGTAATTTTAGCTGAGGTGGAGGTAGACAATGTGACAGATCCTGTTGTCGATTCAGAGAGGACCTGGAATACCGCTTGAAACACCTGAAATATTAAGAGATTTGAAATAAAGTAAGCTAATAAAAGAAATTCAGAATAAATATGGGTTTAAATAAGTAAGCATTAAATAAGCAATTAAATCACAAGTATCTGTAGAAGATCACCACTTGTCAAGCATGCTCCCTAGGCACTAGTGAAATAAAAATGAACAAGACATAATTTCTGCAACAATGGAGCTGATAGTCCAGGGTAGAAGATAGATATTCAGGTATAAACAGGTAAAATCATTTCAAACAGAAATAAATAGTAGCAGAAAACTAGTGGATACTCCATAAATTGACAGGAAAGGGAATATTAGAGAAGGAAAAAAAACCCTGAAGAAATGAAATGTGACAGAAGACATGAATGACAAGAAGGAACCAGCTATACAAAATTGGGAAATTAGTATTTGAAAAAGAAAGAAAAATTTTAAAAGGTGCTGGATAGAAACAAACTTATTTTGTTTTAAAAACAGAAAAGATAGGTGCATCAGGGTCAGAGGAGTGAGATCAGAAAACAAAGCCTTACAGGTCAATGATAAGGTTTAGATTTAGTATGAGTGATCGAATGGTTTTAGGAAAATTTAGGCAAGAGGTGGTATGATATGACTTGATGTTTTAAGATTACTCTAGCTTGCTTACATATGAATAGATCAGAAGGGATCAGAGGTGAAAGCAGGAATATCAATCAGGAAGAAATTTATTACAGAAGCTATGATGATTATGGTGGCCTGAACTAAGGTAATGGCATTAGGCATGAAGAGATGTGGGCAAGAATATGAGACTCTTTAGGATTTCTGTAAGATCCAATATAGCTTTATTTCATTATTTCCAAAGATATACCATTTCCTCAGCATCTTATTTTAATATTAAGCCAAATATTTAGAAAATACATAGATGTTTTAAGCTCCTTCAAACTTGGTGAAGATCCAAAATGGACAACTCAAACAATTATGTAAACATATGAGCCTAACCAGTGGTCAAGGACAATAGGGTGGGGGGGTATGGGGGGGGGGGAGTGGAATGGGCAGTTGAGGACAAATATGTGAAACCTTAATCAATAAAGAAATTAATTAAAAAAAACACAAATATGTAAACTTAATGATGAGACAACTATAACTGCAGTCCAAATTAACATTTAAAGATAAATTATGTTATAAAAAGGCATTTAGTTATAAACTGACTTCTAAAACTGTGATATTTTTCTATATCTCAAAATAAATGTTTTATTGTTTCTTTAAAAGTAATATTAATAAAATTAATCTGGTTACTAGATATTACAAAGTAATAAAAAAATAATTCTTTTTGCTCATAAATGTCCTTATCTTTTTGGTGAATAGACTTTAAATTACAGCCTCACCAGCATGGTTCAGTGACTGAATGCCAATATATGAACAATGAGGTTGTGGTTTTTTCCCAGTCAGGGCACATTGCCTGGGTTGCAGGCTCAATCCCCAGTGGGAGGAGTACAGGAAGCAGCAGATCAATAATTCTCTCGTCATTGATATTTCTATCTTTCTCCCCCTCTCCCTTCCTCTCTGAAATAAATATAATCAATAAAAGTATATTTGAAAAAAATACAAAGAATGCATAAGTTCAATACAAAAACAAAAGTATTAAAAAACCTATAATACACAAAGTAATATAAAGCAATTAAAAATCCTACTTAAAAAAACAAATATACAACATTTCCGTACTTTGAGAGGGATAAGGGACCAGAAATAGCAAAATTTAGAGCTACTTGTTTAGGAGCATCTTTTGGTTTACCTTTCCACAAAGGTAATTACCGTTTCATTGGATGTGTGTTCATCTTTTGCTTGTTATAGAGCAATCTATTTGCAGTACATGTTACTGCTATAGAAGGATCTAGACACAGTGGTTCAGTTGTAGCTAGGATCAATTGGCTCTCAAGCAAAAGTTTGTCTTCCTGAAATGAGTAAGAGCACATGTCAGTACGACACAGTAAGATTTTCAAATCAAATATATCACTTAACCTAGAAATATTCCTCTGAACTCTGCTAAGGATTACAGAAAATATATTATTTCAAGTTCTAATTCAGTGGATAAACTTCAGAAACTTGTCAGCATAATGAAACTATTAATGGAAATTCAGTAATCAGTATAGTGTACAAAGTGTAAGGATTCTTTTCCTTAATCTAGCAAATATTTACTGAACACCTACTATGTGTTAGGCATTCTTCTAGGAGTGGAGGGATAAAGTAGTGAACAAAACAGTTAAAATCCTCTTCTAAGGAGCATATAGGGTGATCAAGATGGATCAGAGCATTTTTAATAACTAGGAAATAATAGTCCCAATTATATACTCAACTTCCATTTCATTATAATAAAAACTAGAGGCCTTGTGCACAAATTCATGGGTGGGATCTGGCCAGTTTGCCCCAATGGGGGCAGATTGAGGCTGGGCAGGCCAGGGTGAGGGGCCATGGGTGGTTGGCCAGCCAGCCCTGCCACCAATTGGGGTGGGGACAGCCGACCAGGGGCGGGGCTGGCTGGGAGAAGGGGCCAAGATAGGTTGGGGGGGCCGATTGGCTGCCACAGTATATGTCATAGTGACCAGTTGTTCTGGTCATTCCACCAGTCCAGTCACTTGGCTTTCCTATGTATAGATGACTACACTAATACTATGTAAACCCTAAGTACTTAATTCCAAAGAATATACAGGATGTATCAACACCCAATTTCACTTAACTACTTGCCCCTCTAAATTTTGTTTTTGTTTGTTTTGCTGGAATAACTTAAAATACATCTCTGACACTATTATTTCACCTGATAACACTTCAGCATGCACTGTAATTGATAAGGATTTCAAATATCCAGTCTACAAATTTCCCATTATCTCAAAAACGTATTTTCATTTGGTTTGTTTGAATTTGAACTCAAATAAGAACTACATTATATTTTAGTTTTTTTTCTCTTAAAAACCTTTCTTTTATTCTGTAATAATAACATTTTTTCTTTTCTAACACAGCTGATTTGTTGGATTTGACCACTTCCTTCCAAATGATATCATTTTTATCTGAATCTGGCTGGTTGCTTCATCTTGCCATTTGTTTCTTTTATTTCCTGAATTCTCTATAACAGTTAGATGTAGAAGAGAGACTTAATTCAGGTTCTATATTTTTAGACAAGAGTTCATTGGTATTATTGTGTACCTTTTCAGACATCTCACCAGGACGTACACAATGATATTCCACTTTTAGACCAGTGAGTTTAGTCAGATTTCTCCATTAGAAAAATTCCTATGAACCTATAATTTAATGATTTTTCAAATCTGAAAATTTCAGCTGTCTAAATTCCTTACTTCATTAAGATAGCTAAGTGATCTTTTCAAGTCTATCATTTCTTTTGTAGCTATTAGCTGAAATGGTCCTAAAGAAGAATTACCTTTAGTTATTATTGAGCTATCTAATGTAAAATTCATACAGAAAACAGAATACATACTATCGTATTTATTTATAAATTTATTTATCAATTTTCAGAGTAAGAAACTAATGCCCTTACAACCTCCAATGGTGACCAATGAGTGTTTTTGAATATTCTTTTAATAGTTAAGATTTTGTTTTAAACAAAAAGATTATAGCCCCAAAGTAAAACATAACACTTGATAGTTATTGATAAATTGAATCTTTATAATAATACTCGAGGCCCAGTGCACAAAATTCGTGTGCGGGGGGGGGGGGGGGGGGGGGGGGAGGGTGTCCCTCAGTCCAGCCTGCACCCTTCTCCAATCTGGAATCCCTCTCACAGTCTGGAACTGCTGGCTTCTAATCACTTGCCTGCCTACCTGAATGCCCCTAACCACTTCTGCTTGCCAGCCTGATCACCCTCTAACCGTTCCCCTACCAGCCTGATTGACACCTAACTGCTCCCTTGCTAGCCCAATCGGGCCCAACTGCCCTCACCGGCCAGCCTGATCTTGCCCCCAACGACCCTCCACTGGCCTGATCTCACCCCCAATTGTACTCCACTACTGGCCTGATCTTGCCCCCAAATGCCCTCCTTTGCCAGTCAATTTGGTTCTGATTGGTCGGTTTCTATGCCAGTCAGCGTCTCTGGACCTATCAAAGGGACCTGATCAGAAACGTGGGGCTGATCAGCAGCCCCAGTGGAGGCCTGGAAAGAAATGGAGGGGCGGCTTCTGACCAGGCCCGGAGAGAGTCAAGTGCTGATCAACAACTGCCACAGAGGCTACAGATCAGACCCTGCTTCTTGCTGTGCCTGATTCGCAGCCCCCTCAGCTGGGTCACCATGCCTGGAGCCATAGCTGTCAGTGCTGTGTCGCTACAGCAACCCAGCTGACGGCAGGACTGACTTCCAATTGGTCGAGCCTCCCAGTTGTTGTAGATATGCTGAGCTCAGGATTATTATATATTAGGATTAGGATTTTCATAGATTAAATAATTCTAATTATTGATATTTTTTTTGGTTTAGTAACTATTTCTCTCTATAGTAGCAGAGGGATAAGTGAACATTCCTGTGAGTGGGCCTTTCAGATATATTGAGCCAATACTGGAGGGGTACTGGCTATTCTCAGGAGCAAGAATATCCCATATGAATAGTAAAGACAGACTAAGCCTGTTTTAGAATCCTAGATGATAGAAAATCAGTACCTATTTGTAACCATTGTACAAACAAAACATCCTTCTTTTTTTTTCTTTTTTAATATATTTTATTGATTTTTTACAGAGAGGAAGGGAGAGGGATAGAGAGTTAGAAACATCTATGAGAGAGAAACATCAATCAGCTGCCTCCTGCACAACCCACACTGGGGATGTGCCCACAACCTAGGAACATGCCCTTGACCAGAATCGAACCTGGGACCCTTCAGTCCACAGGTCGACACTCTATCCACTGAGCCAAAACCGTTTCGGCAAAACATCTTTCTTTTCTTTGAGACGGATTTAAAAAACTAAGTTTTACATTAGGCAGATGAAGTCAACCTGACCTTATTTCACCATGTCTTAAAGCAAATGGCATTAAATTGTTTTAGTTCCTTGAGGAATTACTACACATACAAAGACCCTTAACTTCTAAAGCTTATAAACAAATCCCAAACTTAACACATGAATAAAATTATGAGTAGAAAGTATTCTTCGCTTAACATAATAACTGCTGTTTTATCCTCTATGGGATTAAATAGAGGCAACTAACCTGGGTCCATTTATGGTTATCACTTGTTATTGAATGTACATCACAGATTAAAGTCTAGAACAAATCAAAAATTTAAAGTCACATTAATGTATAGGCATACAAACATATGAAGACATTTAATAAATAAATTTCAAATAAATTCTAAATAATACTTCTTAAACATGCCTTACCTGCATTGTTGGACGTAAGAGAATGTGCTTACTTTGGTAACCTGGAGATTTCATATTACTGGATTGCCTATAGTCACGTATTTCTGCTATGACACATCCACAATGAAAAATATTAACCTGTTTTAAGTGAAAATACTTGAGTAAATGTCCTTTTTCAAAGCCTAAATAAGTGAGTTTATACTGAATGTTTTGGATTCTTTACATTCTCATGCAATATTTTTGGTCCTTCACATACCCATAACCAGCTTTTCTTAGAGGATTTACCACTACATATATAAACCCTTTAAAGGGAACTAATTCCTGTTCATTACTTTGACCCAAGAAACAATTTAAATCGTTTCTAGTTATAGACTAACTTTTGGTATTTATATTTTATACTAGAAGACTAGTGTGCGATTCGAAATCCCAAAGCGCCACCCACCCTCAAGTTGCAGGTCCAGCCCTGCCTCCCTCCAGTCCTTGAAACAGCTGTGGCCGCTGCTGATTAGGCCCTCCCCCAGTACAGGTGCAGAGAGGCCTTGCCACCCTGGCCCCAATGCTGCAACCTCCTCCTTGCAGTTGCCCCGTTATAGCTTCCTGGTTAATTAGCATATTTCTATTTTATATAGAGAGAGATTACAGTTCATGGAAATTGCTGTTAATTGGCTCAGTTATACTTTGCTAATTTGGTCAGTTATTAATTGTCCATCAGCCCTGTTATGAGTTTCAGCTTATAGATAAAATTGCTATTATTTGCTAAAATTTCCAGCAGGCAGTCTTTGTTAATAAAAGGAAGACAGCTAACTATAAGTTAAAATAATCTTCTGTTAAAAATAGTTTCCTAGTCCTTTTTTCTAAGTCCAAAGAGCCTTTATGGCTTAAATCTTTATAATTATCACTTGTCAATCGCTCACAGTATTTTTTTTTCTCCCATTCAAAATTTTAAGTGTGTAATGTGACCTCCATGCTGTCTGTCATCATGCTTTTTAATAAGTATTTGAGTTACTACAATATGAGCTATTTGCCAGGCACTACCCTCAAGACTTCACAGATACAGTTGTGAGACAACACTTGTTTATCAGTGTGGGAAGACAGGTAATAAACATGTAAAAAATTTAAAAAGTTATTTTACACAGTGATGAATGCTACAAATTAAATAAAATAGGAAGGGGCTAATTTAGATTGTTTACTGAGATAAACACCTCTCTGAAGAAGTGATGTTTCAGTTGAGATCTAAATCGCAACAATGCCAGATATGTGGAATAGATCACTCCAAACATAAAGAATAGCAAATCAATAAACTTAAGTGTTTTAGTTTGGAAAGAAGGCATACATGACTGGAGTGTACTGAGTAGAAATGAGATCAGGGGTTTTGTGCACTAAGAGGACACTACAGAACTTCAAGCAGGGACCTCTTTTTATTTTTGTTTTATAAGCTTAATCTCCGGAAAATTTATTTCTCAGGTTCTAAAATGAAAGCAGGAAGTTTAGCAAAGTGAATATAACAAGTCATGACTATATACTTTCAAGATACAGTTGACATTTGCACATGAACTGGGTGTAAAAGGTAAGAATAGGGTAACTCTTTAAAGATTCAAAATACTTGCAATATAACTGGTTTGGGAGGTAAAATAAAAAGTTGTGTTTTTTCATGTTAAGTTAAAGAGTTATTACATATACTAGCAAATATGTGTTTGGAATGGTAACTGTGAGAGATATAAGCAAGAAATTAAATGTCATTTTAAAACTCATAAAGCTGGTTGAGATCAACTAGGGAGAAAGTGTTACTAAATACAGTGCCTAGAACTGACCCCGAAATCAAACATATTTATGTGTGGAAGAGTTAACAGCAAAGATGACTGAAGCATTGCAGAGAAAAGAGGAAAATCACAAATGTGATGTCTCAGAAGCCAAAAGAAAGCTATCTCAAGAAGGAAGTAGTCATCTGCACTGAGTTTTGCAAAGAAACCAATTCAGATGCAAACAGAAAAGAATTTTTTAAGTTAAGAGATAGTACTAATATGCCCGTATTTTTTAACTAAGAGAGGAAAATAGATGATAGAAGAGGAGAAAGATCATAGTAACAAGTCACTGAAAAGGAGGTGTATCCAGGAAAAAAAAAAATGGAGAAGATGCCTTAGGAACAGTTTACTTCATCCATTTTAACAGGAAGGCAGACAGAAAGTGTGGACAGAGATGCGGGGATACTGGTAAACTAGTGCTAGGAAGAAAACATCTCCTAGCACTCATCTTAAGGCTTCCTTTTCCTCAGTACAGAACAGAGTATGGGTGGGGTGAAATCAAGGGAATAGTGGTTTCTTCCATAATTTATTGATTGAAGTAAAAGGGAGATTTCCCATGGAAGAGCTAATTTTCATAGCAATTATAAAAGAATCAACTAAATGTATATATTTCAGTGTAGCCTAAAGGTTATATATCCCACAATAAATCAATTTTCATATTGTTTCCAATAATGTTTCATTTCATGTTCTAACTACTGTTGAGAATACAGATAAATATCCTTTATCATAAAACAATACTAGAGCCCCGGTGCACAAAATTCGTGGGGGGGAGGTAAGGAGGGGTGTCCCTTAGCCCAGCCTGTAACCTCTCAAATCTGGGACTCCTCAAGGGATGTCCAAATTCCCGTTTAGGCTACATCCCATGGGCAGTCAGGCATCCTTCTCACAATCCAGGACTGCTGGCTCCCAACTGCTCGCCTGCCTGCCCTCCTGATTGCCCCTAACCACTCCCCTGACAGCCTGATCAATGCCTAACTTCTCCCCTGCCAGCCTGTTTGCCCCCAACTGCCGTCCCCTGTAGGCTTGGTCACCCTAACTGCCCTCCACTGCCGGCCAGATCACCCACAACTGCCCTCCCTTGCAGGCCTATTCCCTCACAACTGCCCTCCCCTGTTGGCCATCTTGTGGTAGCCATCTTTGGCCACATGGGAGCAGAATCTTTGGCCACATGGGGGCAGCCATCTTGTGCGTTGGAGTGATGGTCAATCTGCATATTACTTTTATTAGCTAGGATAGAGGCCTGCTGCTTGGGTTGGGGCAGGCTGGTTTGCCCTGAAGGATGTCCCGGATCAGAGTGGGGATTCCCTTGGGGCATAAGGTGCCCTGGGCGAGGGGACTGTGGTGGTTTGGAGGCTGGTCAGGGCCCTTGGCAACCCAAGTGGAGGCCCTAGTATCTGGGGCTTATTTATCTTCTACAATTGAAACTTTGTAGCATGGAGGGGAGCCAAGCCTTCTGCTTGCTCAGTGGTGGCAGCCATTTCTATTGGGACTTATGTATCTTCTATAATTGAAACTTTGTAGCCTTATACAGAGGCCTTGGCCGGCCAGGGTGGGCGGAAAGCTTGGCTTTCTCTATCACCAGGGGCAACTCTAGCCTTCTGCTCTTTCCAATTCTATGGCTGCTGCCATTTCTGTTTAGATTTATGTATCTTCTATCATTGAAACTTTGTATCCTTGCGTGGAGGCCTATGCCAGCAAGGACAAGAGGAAAGCCTGGCTTCCTCCATTGCCAGGGAAACTCAAGCCTCTCTCCTGCTCTCTGTAGCCACAGCCATCTTGATTGGGTTAATCTGCATACTCATTCCTGATTGGATGATGGGCATGGTGTAGTGGAGTGGTGGTGGTTAATTTGCATATTACTCTTTTGTTAGATAGGATAGTTGACAAATGTTTAAAAGAAGAAAATTGCACCTGAGATTTTTCTAGGAGATCAACCAAGATAGGAGGCAATTCTTCTGCATCCAAGTATTCAAGCAATTCCCCTTCTTCATAAGGCAGTCGAATGGTCTCAGAATCTTAAAAAAAAAAAAAAAAAAGTTTCTGAAAAGATTGAGGCTGGGTGCATAATTTAAATGAGTCGTCGTCCCCCCACCCCTCCCAAAAAAAAAAAACCAAGGAGAATAAAGCAAAAAGGCTCTCCTAAAGGCCTTCTTTTTGATGTCTTATAAAAAAATCACTTTATATACTGCTAAAAGACTTGGGTGAGTTTTAGATCAGGGTGCTTGGCCAGTTTGGCTCAGAGGTTAAGCATTGAAACAAAACAAAGAGGTCACTAGTTGGATTCCCCATTAGGTTGCTGGCTTCATCCCCAGTGGGGGTGAGCAGGAAGCAACTGATTGAGGTTTCTATCTCTCTTTTTTCCCTTCGTCTCTCTCTAAAATCAGTAAAAACATATTTTAAAAGAAAAAATAATTTTAAATCATAAAGGAAAAAAACACCTAACATCTTATGGGAAAACATCTAGCATAATAATCAAAATACAAATATGACCAGCAGTTCAATAATTAGAATATGACAAAATTCCAATGTCTGATAACTTATAAGTCATTGAAGATTGCTTAATCAAATCTGGAAATCAATAATTTGGTATCTAATCTGAAAAATGGTCATTACAGAACAAAATTCTCTTGGTATAACATTTTATAATTATCAATACTTAACCAGGTGAGTTCCTTATAGAACTCATACTATCACCATATCAAAATTTGTAATGGCTCTTTAATGAAATCTAAGATTATATATATGTTTTAAAACTCTATTTTCATATTCACATGAAAATAAAAACAAAATGTTAACATATGTAAATTACTCAAAAGGCTTAATTTTTAAAGTTTCAGACTCAGTATATTCAAAATGTAGAAGAAAAACACCTCATACTATCTTAAAATATTAATGGCAATTGAATGAAAGAATTTTGATATTTTTAAATTACATCTTTTACAATTTAACTACAATGACCTGTCTCAATCAAAACAATCCTCAAACAAAGAACAAGACCTTCCAACCTCAGAGGGAAGGCAGGGGGAGGGAAGGAGTAAGAGATCAACTAAAGAAGTTGCATGCATGCATATTAGCATAACCTATGGACAAGGACACTGGGGTAGTGGGGGTTTGCCCTGGTGGGTGGGAGTGGTCGAGGAGGGGTGGAACAGAAGAAAAAGGGGATATATGTAATACTTTAAAAAATTAAATTAAATTAAAAAATAGGAAAAAAAAAAAAAACCTTTCCAGTGGCTTCCACTGAACCAAAAATAAAGTCTGAAGTTCTACCCAACCCCCACCCCCCGCCCTCTCACAAAAAAAAAATCACTTCTCAAATGCATATTTCAGGAAGATTAATCACATTAGAGATAAATTCTAATATTCTAATGAAATATAGAGGAAATGTTGGGATCAAAGTCTTCTTTTATGTCATCACTATCTGAAGGACAGACCATTTACCAGGTTATGAAAATCCTTCTAAATGACAGCACATTTGCCCAGCTGGCATGGCTCAGGGGTAGAGCACTGGGCTAGGAACCAGGTCACAGTTCAATTCCAGGTCAGGGTACATGCCTGGGTTGTGGGATCAAACCCCAGTAAGGGCATGCAGAAAGCAACCCATCGAAGAGTCTCTCTCACTGATGTTTCTATCTTTCTCTCTCTCTCCCCCTCTCCCTTCTTCTCTGAAATAAATAAAAATATGTTAAAATAAAAAAACAAAAACAGACAGCACATTCTGCCAGGCAGAGAGACTTTTGTGGCTGCTGCCCTCTCAAGGTTCTTACCTGATCCATTTTTTCCCCTGAGCATCAAAGAATATCCCTCATTTCCTGGATATAGGTTGACCACTAAGCACGACAATGTCTCTTGCATGACAAGCTTCTCTAACAAGTTCACATTTCTTCTTAACTTCTGCTTTAAAGAGGCAAAGATCATGAAAATAATCCAGCATAATCTTAACAGAAAAATACTATGATTTAACAAAAGAAAACTTGAATTAATCTTTTAGAGCTCATTCCACATTATGATGCTGAATATATAGGGAAGATACACAACATTATAGTTGCCAATTACATAATATCTATGTAAACTTAATTATCTATTGCTGTTTTATATAAATTAATTTGTATCACAAAGAAAAAAGTGATTTATAAAACGAAAAAAAGTGAAATAATTCTATATAAACAAATAAAGAATTTGGGGCATTCTCCTTGGTTGTACTGTTATAGAAGCACATTTCTTAAATATTTTATGGCCTAAATTAAATTTATACAAGTCAAATACAATGTTAAACTCAAAAATATCTAATTGTTAAGAGGAAGTGGGCAATTGAAGCAATTTTCTGTAAATTGAATTTGACTACTCCTTAGAAACCATTTTGTTAGAGAGAAATCTATGAGAGTCCTGGCCAGATAGCTCAGTTGGTTAGGGGATTGTCCCAATATACTAAGGTTGCAGGTTTGATCCTGGTTAAAACACATACAATAATCAACTGATGAATGCATAAATAAGTGGAACAACAAATCAATGTTTCTCTCCCCCCACTTTCTCTCTCTCTAAAAAAATTAAAATTAAAAAATTTTTAAAGAAAAAATCCATTAGAAAATATGCATATTTCAAAATCCATTTCAGAAATGTACATGACTTAAAATAAAGCCCAATTATAGATAAATAATTCCTGTCATGAAATTATATTTGTGAAATCAGTCAACAGAATATTCATTTTTACATGATCTCAAAAAACATGTTTTGAGTATCACATATTAAAAATGTATAGAGTCAAATGCAGAAAGTAATCATAATTCTTGATCTGTTGTTACCATAGACTCAAAACACTGCATTTTCAAATTTGAAAAAGTGGCCAAAATAACTTTTACCCACTTTGATATAAAATAAAAAACTACTGAAGACACTAAAATTTTAAAGTGTTTTCAAATGATGAAAAAAAAACACCTTACAATCTAACATTAGACAGAATAGTTAGATACATTTTGACAATATGTGTACTCTTCAAGATAACAAGTTGGGTCCTGAATGGTGTAGCTAAGTTGGTTAAAGTAGCATCCCATGCTGGGTTTAATTCCCAGGCAGGGCACATTGCAGATTCAATCAGCAGTCAGGATGCCTATGGAAGGCAATTATCCTCTTTTTTAAGTCAAGAAAACCCCAAATTAAGTGTTTGGTTCTTCCCGGAAATGGGAGGTGGTCAGGAGTTTGGTTCTTCCTGGAAATGGGAGGTGGTCAGGAGTGCCTAGGCGTGGGAGATGCCAGGCAGAGGGTCTGGGCTGGGGTGTGGTAAACGGGCCTTCAGGACACAACAGAGCTGTTGCTGCTCAGTCTGTAGGACACCATAGCCTAGGACGTAGGGCTCAGGCTGGCTTCTTTCCTCCTCACCGCAGTCACAGTCACCAGGGCCATGACAGCATCTAGGCAGCATTAGCTGCCCGCGCTCCCCAGGAAACAGAGCCATCCCTGCCATTCAGGGAGCGCCCTTGAGGTGGGACTCCGCAGTCTGATTCTTCTCTTTCTCTTTCTTTGTTTCTCTTCCCCCGACCCCCCATATTTAAAAACAAGCTGGTTTCCATGTAGTTCTGGAGTGAACATATATATCAAAGGACAGAAAATTTCTTAAAGGACAAGCTAGTATTTTCAAGCTTGTGGGCCATATGGTCTATGATGCTCAGGTCTGTCATTGCATTGTAAAATCAGCCATAGAAAAGATACTACAAGCCAATAGGTGTGGCTGGATTCCAATACAACTTTATTTACAAAATACACAGTAAGCCAGATTTGGCTGGTGGACAATGGTTGCCATTCCTAATATAGAATCTTTATATATCTGTCCTATCTTAGTTCTATCTCTGAGATAAAGTTCATTAAATTGATTATTGTGATAGTTTTATGGGTGTATAGATTTCAAAATTACAAAACGTATCTTTTTATTTTATTAACTAGAGGCCCGGTGCATGAAAATTCGTGCACTGGAGGGGGGGGTCCCTCAGCCCCGCCTGCTCCCTCTCACAGTTCAGGAGCCCTCAGGGGCAGAAGGTGACCAGCGACCATGGGAAGATGACACCCCCATCACACCTCTGCTGCTGCCACTGCTGGCAGCGCAAGCCTTGACAGGCCCTAGTTACCTGAGCCTCAGGTGGCCTTGCATCCGAGGTTGGCCTGCACCTCAGGCCAGCCCCGGGCAGCTGGGGCTAAGAAGAATGGGAAACTCTGGAGGCCAGCCCAGCCTTGCCACACGCCTGCTGCCACTCCAGCTGGTCTAAGGGTACTAGGCGCTGCCATCTTTGAGGGTGTGGCGGTCAATTAGCATATTTTCCCTTATTGGCTGTGGAAGCAGCCATCTTTGAGGGCATGGCAGTCAACTATCATATTCCCTCTTTATTAGATATGATATGAAATTTATTACATATTAATTATACCACAATAAAACTTATGCAAAACTTACTGTAAGATTTATTTATAGTTTAACAATCCTTTTTCTTCTAATTTTAAGATTTCAAAGATTAGGCACTATAGGAATTCCACTGATTTTTTTTTAAAAATAAATGTTTATTGATTTTTTTCTAGAGAGGAAGGGAGAGGGACAGAGAGAAACATTGATCAGCTGCCTCTGCCCACAACCAAGGCACATGACCTTGACTGGAATTTAACCTGGGGCCCTTCAATCTGCAGATTCTATCCACTGAGTCAAACCAGTTAGGGCTCCACTGATTTTTTTTTTAACCTAAATGGTAAAATGATATTCATTTTTAAATTAGGGACAGATAACAAAACTTAAAGAGCCCTTTAAGGTCCTTACAACTTAACAGCACAATAAGTATCAGGAAATCAATTTTATTACTTTCAACTGCCCACATTTTTATGTTAAATAAAAAATAATTAATTTAGCTGAAACCGGTTTGGCTCAGTGGTAGAGCGTCGGACTGCAGACTGAAAGGTCCCGGGTTCGATTCCGGTCAAGGGCATGTACCTTGGTTGTGGGCACATCCCCGGTAGGGGGTGTGCAAGAGGCAACTGGTCGATGTTTCTCTCTCTCATCGACGTTTCTGGCTCTCTATCTCTCTTCCTTCCTCTCTGTAAAAAAATCAATAAAATATATTTAAAAAATAATAATTAATTTAACCTGGCCATGAACTAATTTTGTGACCAAATTCACTTATTATTACCACAACTGATTTTCCTGCATGCCCTATATTAGCTTTAACTTTCCAGTACAAATCACCATGAACAGGTTACTTTCCTCCTATCTTCAGTCTACAAATGCTTTCTCAGAAGGGAAAAGAAACAAAGAATACACAGGGTGGGCCCTAACCAGTTTGGCTCAGTGGATAGAGTTGACCTACAGACTGAAGGGTCCCAGGTTCGATTCCAGTCAAGGGCACATTTGCAGTAGGGCTTGATCACCAGCAAGGGAGGTGCAGGATCAATGATACTCTCTCATCATTGATGTTTCTCTCTCCCTATCCCTTCCTCTCTGATATCAATAATAAAAAATAAAAAAAAAATACACATACACACACACAACACACACATACCAAAAAAAAAAAAGAATACACAGGATAGGGCAAAAGACTTAAAGCTGTTCATATGGAAAATAATACAGTTAGTAAGTAATAATGTATAAGAATGAACTCTGGCCCTAGCTGGTTTGGCTCAATGGATAGAGTGTTGGCCTGCATACTGAAGGGTCCCCGGTTCGATTCTGGTCAAGGGCTCGATCTCCAGTGGGGGATGTGCAAGAGACAGCCAATCAATAATTCCCTGTTATCACTTATGTTTCTATCTCTCTCTCCCTCTCCCTTCCTCTCTGAAATCAATAAAAAATATATATATTAAAAATTAAAAAAAAAACTTTCACTTACTTAAAACTGTAAACCTACTTTTGCCCTACACAACATCCTATCTAATATGTGAATTGTATGTCACTCCAACACACAAGATGGCCTCTCCCATGTGGACATAAGATGGCCACCACAAGATGGCCAGCAGGGGAGGGCAGTTGGGAGGCACCAGGCCTGCAAGGGAGGGCAGTTGGGGGTGACCAGGATGGCTGGGAGAGGGCAGTTGGGGGGAACCAGGCCAGGAGGGGACAGCAGTTAGGGATGACCAGGCTGGCAGGACAAGGTAGTTAGGGGTGACCAGGCCAGCAGGGGAGGGCAGTTGGGGTGACCAGGCCTGGAAGGGAGAGCAGTTAGGGTGACCAGGCCTGCAGGTGAGGACAGTTAGGGGCAATCAGGCTGGCAGAGGAGCAGTTAGTCATCTATCAACCTGGCCGGGGAATGTTTATGGGTGATCAGGCTGGCAGGCAGAAGTGGTTAGAGGCAATCAAGCAGGCAGGCAGGTGAAAGGTTGAGATACAGCAGTCCTGAATTGTGAGAGAGATGTCCCGAGATTGATGAGGGTGCAGGTTGGGCTAAGGGACACTCTCCACCCTCCGTGCACGAATTTCGTGCATCAGGCCTCTAGTATTAGTATATTTTTCTGACTTACCAATAGGATATTCTGTTACTCAGTAAACACTGTTCCCATCTCCTACCTAAGCATGTGATCTCTACCTTGTAGCCGGAGCCCTGGGTCAGCTGTAAAACTCGCTAGAATTTGGCTGGAAAAGATGTTAGCTCATTCACAAAAATATAAATATCTGCTTCAAATGTAAATCTTTCAAATTACCCTCTTCCTCTACATTTTTTTTTTACCTTCTACATTTCAAAAGCCGTAACAATATATAAAATGTATATTTACCTTAACCTCAGGCTCTTTTTCACATTCTTCAATATATAAGTCATAAAGTTTTTGAAATACAGATTTTCTAAAATTTAATGAAGACAATATAAAAAATAATGTGAATATAATAATCATTGTAAAATAAATGTTATCAAATTCTCTCATCCCTCCCCCACCCAAATTCTTTAAGATTGGAGGTGAAGTGGACATGGCTAACATAAACTAAGAAAGTTTTAATAAACGCCAAGTACCTATAATATAACATCTCTAGTAGTGCCTATTTGGAATGCAATAAATGGTGGCTCTCATCATATTTCAATGAGTCTAAAGTCATCAATTAATAAAGTATTCATACCTTCCAGTAGATAAGTATTTCCTTTTAGGAGGTCTCTGTCGGGCACTTTCAATGACATACTAAAGAAGAAAAGTTTATGAAATAGCTTGCCTTTTACTTAGTGAATGAACTAACTCTGTTTTAAGTATGTTTAAAACACATGTAAGCCTAAAAAGGCTATTCAGTCACTCAAGTTTCTGAGTCCTAATAAATTATAAGAAAAAATGATTTAGCTTGTAAATATCCTATATAACAAAGAGCTAATATGCAAATGATCATCACACCCTCATGCTGTTAGTACTGGTTCAGACATTCAACACTGGGGAGAGAAGATTCGGACTAGCCAGGCACAAATGAGCTCACAAGAGAGGAATGGGGACCAGCCAGACACAAATGAGCTTATGAGAGAGGAATGGGGACCAGCCAAGCACAAATGAGTTCTCAATAGAGAAATGGGGACAAGCCAGGCTGCGGCCCAGGAAAGGGACAAGCCGCACTCCCCATGGTCCTAGGCGCCAGCGGGTGGGCTTGTGGCCTGGGAGAGGGACAAGCCATCCATCCCATGGTTCCAGGCGCCATCGCCTGTGCCCTGGGATAGGGACAAGCCGTCTGCCCCACAGTTCCCTGCGGCTGAGGCCAACCGGGGTGAAGCTGGCTTGGGTTCTGGGGGCTGGCATCCAGCTAGAGGAGGAATCCTGGGTTCCAGGTGTGGGGTGAGGCAGAGGCTGTTAGGGGTAGTCAGGCTGACAGAGATGGTTAGGGGCAATCAGGCAGGCAGGCAGTGGGGATAAAGGCAATCAGGCAGGCAGGCAAGCGGTTAGGAGCCAGTGGTCCCAGATTGCGAAAAGCAGTTGGACATTCCCCAAGGGGTCCCGGATTGGAGAGGGCGCAGGCCAAGCTGAGGGACCCCCCCGCCAAATGCATGAATTTCATGCACTGGGTGGGTCTCTAGTGTTATAGGTAAGTGAAATTTAAACTTCTCTAAAATTTAGCACAATATTTCACTGCTATAAGCAAATGTGATTTCATAACTCAGAAATATTCTCAGTATATTTTATGGTTCTTCAGAATATGCAGAGCATATCCAATTGCAATAACTTAATTTTTTGGCTATTTCCCCGCCCCCTTCAACTGAGAAATCAGAAAACTTATCAAAATAGAAAAACATGATTTTAGAAATTCTGTTCATTTAAATAATAGTCATTATTTAAATAATAACTATTATTACTTAATAAGTTATTATTTAAATAATAACTATTATTATTTAATATGTAAGTCATAAAGTTTTTTAAATACAGATTACTACCTACTCCTAAGGATGAAGTATTATTTAATTTTTATTCTGCAGCATTATTAACTGAGAACTTCAAGTAACAGTTGATTCAAACATTGCCCCATATTTTTATATATTTACAGAAAAATTTGCATACTTGCCCTAAAATGATATTAATGTATTACTCTGACAATCAGAACAAAATCTCTTAAAACTGAGTTTTGTCAATTAATGTCAATACTATTTCAATATATAACTTAGTGATGTCTTACCTCTGCACGATCCAAAGCTAGTTCTAAAGCTTGCTGCTGTAAAAAAGTAAATAGTGCATTTGGTAATATTAGCTATTTTCACAAAAAACAATTTAATATACACATAACATTTGTAATTAAGTGTTTAAGTTTAATTTTCTAAAATAAGTCTAATATATTTCCTTTTCTCCACATTGTATGCTCAATATCTATATATGTAAAAGCCTAAGCGACTAACCAAACAAGTCGACCAGTCACTATGACATGCACTGACCATGAGGGGGCAGATGCTCAACACAGAAGCTGCCCTCTGGTGGTCAGTGCACTCCCACAGCCAAACTCTCGTGGTCCCTCCCCCTAGCCAGCAGGCTGGCCCTGATCAAGCAGGCTGGTTAACCTTCTACAGCCCTTCCTCCCAGCCAGCCAACCTCCCAGGGCTCCAATGGCCCCAATTGGGCTGGCCAGCCAAACTCCTGCAGCCCCTTCCCCAAGCTGGCCAACTCCGATTGCCGGCCAGGCTGAGGGACCACACCAATGCCAAGGGACCCCAGTTGTGCAAGAATTTGTGTTCCAGGCCTCTAGTATATTATAAAGAAAAAATTATGACAGTCTTAGGCACCTGATTATGATAACAAATTAGATAAGAAATGCTAAAATAGCTTTCTTTGGCCAGGGCATGAGACTGATACAGGATAATGAGCTGGAGATAGTAACTACTACCACTTTATAAACTTTAGCTTCTTTAACATTCTAAGAGCACCAATCAGTAAAATATATTGGACATCAAGTATGCAATTCAAGTAAAGCAAAGACTACTCTCCTAATCTTCTAAGAATCCTAAAAATTGGGGGTGCTTATTATGTTGATACCTACCATTAACTTAGAAAGTTATATATGTATATATATTGTTATTTTTAAAGTCCCAATGTATTTTAAAGTCCCAATAAGGCAGAGATTCTTTAACATGTTTTTAGGTCAGTGCCTAGTAGAATGCAATTAAATAATGACTAATTATCATGTTTCAATGACTTTAAGATAACATCAACTATAAGCAAACATCATTAATGTAGGTAACATTAAGAAAAATGTGCTATCAGTTATAATTTTAAGATGTCACTGATTGTAGATTCATCTTCAATTCAGTAATATTAAAATGTAAAAGAGAATGAATGCATCTTCTAGTTGATAAAATATAGTATTATTAGTACATGTACAATTTAAGATCTACTAGTAGGTTTCCATCCTTCATCTGTTATTTGGAAACCCTTATTTTAAGGCAAGAGAGAGAAATGAGAAAATAGTTTCTATCTTTCCTATCTGTAAAGTTTCTTTTGTAAGAACACATGGAAAATAAAAAGTACTAGGCTTTAAACAAAATTAAGCATATATACTGCTAGTGATTTCTATTCCTAGTTTTGTGGTTTGGGCACAGGGTTATTGTATTTTTCATTTACAATAACAGTCATTTTTAATGACTAAGAGGCACAGAACTTTCATTTTTTTATTTACAAGGATCTAAAATTTTCTCTTTTATTTGTAGACTCCAACAATTCAATCTACCAAGTTGCATTGCATAAAACCTCTCAGCATCCACCAAAACCCAAAAAGGTAAAGGGAAGAATAAATATTGCCATACTTTGGAAGTCATGGAAAGGTTTAAGTGATCCTGCCACCCTAGTCTTAAGGATGAAGAAATCAGATGATTACAAAAATAGCTGGCCTTTTAATTTAGACTGCAAGAAAAAACAATCCACATCATCAAATACCTAAAGTGTAATAAGTGAAATATATACCTTCAAAAGATTCAGTTGAAATAAATGTTTTGCAATTTATTTTAAAAATCTTATGAGGTTCAAATTCCCAACAAAACTGGGCAAGATGACATTCCTGAGTATAAAGCATTTTCCAGCACAAAAACATTCTGAATATATACACTTGACAGATACATAAGGTTTTTTTAAAATTATTTGGCTATAAAACCTTAAAGTTTATATAAAAGAATTATAATAAACATAGTCAAATATACACTCTAGGACAATTTAAATAGTAAATCTTCTCAAGTAAATATTTCACTTCTGAAATCAAAACTTCAAAAAATTTAGTAAGATATACCTACATTTGTAAATACAAGCATAATTTATATACTACCTTCTTCAAATACTTTAGAAAGAAATGATTAGCTAATATAATATATAAAGCAAGATGTAAACCTCACTGCAACTGCTCAACTTATCTCTAATAGAGCAAGGGGTAGAGAGGCAAAATCCCAAAGGAGAAGAGAGACAAATGTTTTCTGAGGCAATTCAACATGGTGGTCAGTGTTCATTTATTCTCATACTGTCAAATATTACTACTTCTTTAAAACATTAGAAAGTGTTTTTCCCCCTTTGTCTTTAATTTTTAGTTACAAAAGTTAAATGCCCAGCCCTATGTATGTTTAGTGACTGTAAGTCAGTGAACAGAAATGTGCCATTAGAAGACTAAAATTGATGTTTTAAATGTTATTTAAAGCACATTATGTTTGTTAAAAAAAAAAATTAATCTAAATTAGGAGAAACTTTAAAATATGAGAAGCCCCCAAAACTATCAAACTTATACCCATCCTACTTGCCAATGATTTGGACTATGGTAAATAGAAGTACATTTTAATGTTTCATAAAGATAAAGACAGGTGGATTATCTGTATAATCTGGATATTTTAACACAGAATTGAGAGATGAGCCCCCTATTTTGTGCAGAAAATTTTGCATGCAGTTACTAAGTAATTTCCCAGTTAGAGAACTTAAACAGATTGCAAGAGGATTTCTGTATCTATAATAGATATTTTTATGGAGATAAAGAAATAGAACAATCTAAAACATAAATAACATACTGAGCTGTAGCTTACCATTGTGGTATAAAATAAGGGTCCAAAATGTAAATTTAACTGCGTTGAAGTAGGGTGAAAACCATGCCTTTAGGATAAACTTATAGCACTGTAAAAGCAAAAACAAAACCCCAATATTAACATAAAGCTAATTAAAGAAATGATAATAATTTAGTAAGAAGAAAAATTATTTGAGATATGTTTTCCTAAGACACTTTTTAATAACCAGCAATAATGAAATTCATGTGCCACTATTGAAAAGTATACTTTTGACTAGATAGGGCAAAATACAGTTTGCAAGTTAAAATGATTACTCACTTTCTTCAAAAATATTTAATATCCAGGAGAGGAAAAAACAAAAGTTCATTGTTACTGGTCTCATTGGTTCCTCTGGATTACTAGTAACCAACATCCCATTGGCCTTGATTGCTCTACAGTTCACTTTACAAATCATACACTTCATCATATCTGCTGATAATTCCCCCAAATACCCTAGGCTACATTTTCCAGATGCAGCTGAAGTCCCTCAAACAAACTGGATACACTTCTGAAGAATCTTATTTCTCTAACACAAGGGTTCTCATTCTGGCTGCAAAACACAGTAACCCCGAGAGCTTTAAAAAATGGAATACCCATGTATCACCCCTCCAGTGATTTTCATTACCTGGTCTGGCATAGGGCCCAGGGATCAACATTTTTGGAACTCCCCAAGTGATTCAAAGATGCTGTCAAAGTTAAAGCCAGCCCACTGCTGTAGCCTCTCTGCCTCAAACAGAAATGGTGTATGTCTACTCTGTAAGTGATGCCAAATAAATAAGGCTTATTTTTAATCAAATTCTTTACCTAATTCCTTATAATCCGAGTCTGTCTGTCTATATAGGTGAAGTAAAAGAACATCTGCAAATGACAGAAAATAGTATTCCCATGTAAAATTCTTTTGGCTTGATTTGGTGAACCCAAAGCTTAGGTTTTGCCAGTTTAGGTTTATTAAAAGTGAGTGTGTGTGTGTGTGTGTGTGTGTGTGTGTGTGTGTGTGTGTGTTGGGGGAGGGGGGAGGGAGAGGGACAAGGAGAAGGAGGTGGAGATGGAGGGGGAAAACAACGACCCAAATTAGAAATAATCATTAAAAATTATTAAGACATTAATCCTACTCTTCAAGAGTTCACAGATTTAATACGAATTCAAGTCAAGATGAAAAATTTAACCAGTGAATCTAAAGATTAAATACTATACATAAAGGCAAATGTAATGGCTTTAAAATTAGATCTCTAATAGCTTCTCAGCCTTTTGGCTAACATCAAGTGTAAAATTAGATCTCTTGTCCCTACCTGGGGGAATGGAGTGAAAAAGGCTTAGTGACTTTAAATTATTTAAGTATTACAGACAAAAACCAATTATTATCACTTACAAACCAAACATTCTTACTTTATACTGGATATACATACTAGAAGTCTGTGAGAAAACCATTGTCGTCATTGTCTTTACAGAATAAGGCACTCAAAACCAATGACTTTCCCAAGGTCACACTAGTGGAATTCAGATCACTATCAATTTTTAATTTTAGATTATCTCCATTAAATCTTACAACCTTCAGACCAGTCAACCCAGTACCTGTTTTTAATTTTTAAAAGCAAAGCATTTAAAATAAAGACCCGATTCTGCTCAGACTAACATACTTTTTTCTTAATTTTGCTGTAAATTTACATCATGGTTATTAAACCATCGTACTGTACTTAATTTCAGTTGGAAAATCTTGCTAAGCATTTTATATTTCATGTATGTATTCAGAGAAATACAGTCCTTCCCATACGGTGGTTCCGGGGGATGGCTTCCAGGGGCAGTTATTCACCAAGATCGTTTCTGAACTCCTGGTAACCATGGCGAGAACCAGTAATTAATACAATTGTCACATCGCAATCGATTCCATCGATTTCTATGATGGATCCGAGTTTCCTCTAACTGCTCGAGCTTTTGTAACAATTTAGGCTTTTCCGCCGCAACTCAAAAGCGAAGAAACAGCCTTTATTCAATATGGACACCAAGAAACCGCCCCCAAAGAAGCGCTACGCGAAATTACTGCGCTTCAAAATACCTGTAACTGGAACCCAAAAGTCAAACTAAAATGAAGAACGTGCTTCGTGGCACCGTGAAAGTCAAACGGAGGAGGCCGCCTAGACCGTGGCTGGCTCAGCTTGGCCCGAGTCACTGGGCACACCGTCTTCCTTTTCCGGCCTCCGGAAAGTGACGTAACACCGGAAGCGGCTCGCTCACCTCTGACCTCGGCCACCGGCTCTCGCGCGACTACCCCGCAGGCCGTGGCCCAGGGCTAGGGCCGAACACCGCTCGGCTGGGACTCGCGAGAGGATTCGCTCCTTGCCGCCACCAGCGCACGCCCTCCGTCTGGCGGGTCCGGGACCTGTTCCGGCGCCTCCATTCCCATTCTGCTGCTGAGGGGCGGGCGATGGCGACAGCGAAAGCAGAGGACGGGCGCGGTTGGGTGCGTGGGTGCCAGGGGGCGTGGCTGCTAGGATTTCGTTAACAGCCCCACCCCACCCCTGTCCTCGTCCTGGCTCTTCCTGATTCCAAGCCCTGCAGGCTTAGTCTGGTCCATAATGTGCAGGTAGTGTTACTTGCACCTTTCACAGACTTCCCAGAGGTGTTATCTGGCAGTCCCTTGAGTCAGAGGAAAAGGGCTGTCTCCCCCTCAATTCTCTTCATGCGCCTATAAATGAATTTAAAGGAGAGACCCTGATTGTGTTGTTTTAAACTGAATTTATTTTAAAAAATTAAATCATACTCATTTATTAAAGAAGCGAGGCAAGCAAATCTAAACATCTGGCTTATGTAATGCAGATGGGCTATAAGCCCCTCTGAAGAGCGAGTGGGGTGAGAGGGTTCTGCCTTACATACCCTGTGTCTATAAGGCTTTTAAAAATAATTTAAACTGTTATTCTTTGTACACCCCAGTGACCAGATATTATACAATTTACTATGTGATCATCCCAATAAATCCCGCACCCATTCAGCACCAGACCTAGTTATTTTAATATTATTGACTATATTCCGTTTGTTTGGTTTTAAATTCCCGTTAGATATCATGGTACAGATGAACTCTGAAGGTCTCCCCTTTTCTTTGTTATGGCTTTCCCAATTAAAGTACCTGGCAATTAAATCTCGAGTGTTGGCTTCTCTGTTTAAATAGTGGGATGAGAAAAGACTGCACTCCTCCCCCTCCTCCTTCCTCTCTTCTGTCTTTTATTTGATTTTAGGGTGATTTAAATTACGTGTTTCACCCTGGCTGATATTGTTTTAATGGTTAGAGTGTAGGCCCGGTGCGCAGAAGGGTCCCATGCTCAATCCTGATCAAAGGCATGTGCCTGAATTGCAGGTTTGATACCAGGCCCAGGCCAGGACGCATTCAGGAGGCAAACAATCAATGTGGCTCTCTCACATTGATGTTTCTTTCTCCCTCTCTTCCCCTCCCCTCTCTTCCCCTCTCCTCTCCTCCCCTCCCCTCTCCTCCTCTTCCCTCTCTTCCCTTCCCCTCCCAGGTCCCTTCCATTCTCTAAAAATAATAACCTTCCTCCTCCTCTCCTCCTTCCCTTTTCCCTTCTCTTCTGCATTCTTCTGTGAAGAGAGGTTTTAACACTTTGTCCTTAAGATAAGGTCCTGCAACAAGCAACCTGCAAAACTTTTTTGGCTTTGTTTAATTTTCCTGCCTCAGTTTCCCTATACCACTTGTCCTGTGTAGAGAGTGCCTGGGAAGGCACATGGGCATTTCTTTAATTATTGTCAGCTGAATCCAGTGGCTCTGGTAAAGCCATGTCCTGGAAACATGCTTTGCCAAAGGCAGGAGTGTTGTCAGCTTGACCTTCAGCCCATGTGCCAGGGGGTAGGTTTTGTTATTTAAATCCAGCCAAGCACCAGAAATGGCCCACCCAAGAATGCACATAATCTCCTTTATCCTGACTTTTAGTAAAACTTCCTATTTTTTGCTGTATAAAATAAACACCCTGTATTGTCTCTGGGTCCCTGTTCCTATCAGAGGACAGTAGTCCCACCTTGCCTCATCTTTTTCCTTCTATCTCTGTATCTGTCGCATTCATTTTCTCAATCCCCAGCATCCCCTACTCAGGAATTTGATCTTCTCTAGCCTTGCTGGACTCAAAAAAGAAGAAGGAAAAAAAAGTTTCACAGTCCTGGAACTTTGTTAGCTTTTCATTGTTTTATAACAGTAGGATGTGGCTGTTATTTGAGGTGTAGGGTGCCCTGTAGAATTTCCAAGATGAAAATACTTGGGACTAGCTTTTGTTGCCCAGTCCATCCAATGGAAAGGGAACGATATGATCTTATATTTCCTAGTCCAAGCCATGTAGCCTTTGATAGTATATCAAGTGCCAATTAATTTAATGATTTGGGGGAAGGAGGGAACCTCACCGAACAGTTTTTAAAATTCAGGAACGGAATAACAAGCATGTGTTGCACTATTGTAATTCTGCATCTTTAAATAACTTTGTTTGTTGGGTTATAAACTTTTTAAAAATGTTATTGAAGTGAAATCCACAGAATTATAAAATGAAACATTTTGAACTTTACAATTCAGTAGCATTAAGTACATTCACAATGGTGCATAATTATCAACTCTATCTAGTTCTAAATTATTTTTATCATCCCCATTAAAGTTATTTTCTTTCCTATTCCAGGCCCCAGCAAATACCAATTCCTTTCAGACTCTATGGGTTTACCTAATCTGGATAGTTCACATAAATGAAATATGTGACCTTTTTGTGTTTCAGCATAATGTTTTACAGATTCATCAACCATGTAGCAAGTTTCAGTATTTTATTCATTTTTATGGCTAATATGCATTTCCACTATATGTATATACCACAGTTTCATTCCTCTATTCATTCATGGACATATGGATTGTTTACACTTTTGAGCTATTGTGAATATTGCTGCTATGAACATTTGTGTGGGAGTATGTCAACTCTTTTGTGTATATTCTATTAAAGAAAACTAGA